TATGGCTCCAGTGTCTGATTTATCATAAATGGCCACGTACATTATCCTGTGGTGACCCTATTGCCATTTATTATTTTCATTAAACCCATTGCAACGGTCCATAAATTCTCATTTACATACATGACACATAAGGACTGCTAAATGGTGGTTGGAGATCTCATAACCAATAACTTATCATTATTTATGTTTTTTGCTGAAATCCTATATCAACTACTCTATAAATTCACCCTAATATTTAGAATAAAAATTATAAATTCATGAACTTCACCTGTGATTAATGTAATACATGTGGAATCATCTAAATATCAAAACTTGAAAAGGATACAAATGACACCTTTTATTGAATTAATATTAATTTAATTAGATAATAAGAATCCCAATTGTGGGATTAATATTAATTTAGGGCTTGACTGGATAAACCTTTTTTTTTTTTTGGACAAAACATAGGAGTAAAACTTGAACTATGGGTGAAACATAGTAGTAAAGACTCAATAAAAAGGATTCAACTATTATATAGCCATGTTATGGTTGTGCTATCTTAATCACCTCGATTTGGTCAAATCTAAGAACCATTCTCTTGACAGCCTCTACATGACTACATCAACTATATATGTGATTCATACAAAGTTATTCTTAGTTGATAGCCAAATTGGGAGCATATAAGAATTATGAATAAAAACAAAATGTGAACCCAACATTACAAAGGTAGATATGCAAATTGCAAATTAGGGCACGCATAAGAATTACAAACCGGACCAAGCATGTGAGTATAACAGATGAAGATAGGTGCACAAGTGCAAATTGGCTTAGGTTTGTGAATCACAAAATGCTAAACCACGTTTTTGTCATGTAGGTTGTGTTTATTTGCGATACAAACACAAATATGTACTCTACATAAATACTTTTTTTTGGTTCATAAATGCAAAATTGTTCACATTTGTTAACCCATTCTGTTCTCTTCATGTTTGTTTCCAATCGATGTAAAAGACTATATGGTGGTCTCTCTCTCACTTGACCGACGGAATAAAGTAAGCCTTTAACATTGAGATCCAAAAAGTACAAGTTTATATCCATCGAATGGACACAGTAATGCACTCTCCTTACGATACGAAAATGTTAGAAAAAAGCTCACAAATGCTCACAAATCCGAACAGGGGTACATATATACCCCAATTCAATGTTTGTATTGCAAACAAATGCAACCATAGTGAAAAGTACAAATTAGAGTCAATACAAAAAAAAATCATGAAACATAGTTGAGAATGCACATACAAACAAATGACAAAATAATAGCAAAGAAATAATTACAGATTGTCAAACATCAAGCAAAACCACTTATTGGTAACTTGGCCAGAAAACTTGAGCTAAGCTATCATAACTATTTAATGACTTACCTTAAAAACTTCTATAACAAAAAAAAAATGACAAATAAGGAAAGTTTCTTCTCTAATAAGATTTGAGATCAATATATAAAGCGGGGATTCCATTCTATTCAACTCACTCTTAGGTTTCTACCAAAACACACAAAACAAAAAGGAAAGAAAAGAAAAAAATAAAAATAAAATTTTACCACTCTTTGGAGAACTTCATTACTTAATCCACTCAATTTGTCTAAGATCTTCAGACTTAGGTTTCAAAGACCACAACCGCTACTTCAATAGCCTACACATTGTATCAACTATTAAGGTTATATATATAGTGCCCTAATCAAATGTGAAAATATTATATTCACCAAAAAAGTCAAGACATTTATTGTATAGTCTCTCTAGAAGTGTAAAACAGGCCATGCCGGGCCAGCACAGCATGGCCTACTTGCGGCATGCACTTTCATGGCATAACCAACTTGCGGCCCGTGCAAAGTGTGTGTCATGCCATGTTGGCTTGCAGGCCATCCTGGGTCATGCCGCCCCCTCCCCAAGGATAATTTGGGGGGTCGGCCCGGCCTGGTCCACGGCTCAAGCCCGTGCCGTGCCGTGGGCCTGGGCCATGCCATGCTAGGCCATAGGTCGGGCCTTGGGCGTGGGCTGAATCGAGCTAGACTGTTTTTTTTTGTTGTTTTTTGACATTTTTTTATTTCTTTGCTAAGTAAAACTAAAATATTTAACTTTCCTTTGGGAACTATTTGAAAAAAATAAGAAATCTAACAAAGAAATGAAAAAAACATACTTAACCAAATAAGAAGTCAAAGAGACAAAAGGCTCAAAGTGAATAACAAATTGGAAGAAAAAATAGGAATTTTATTTCATTTAAATTTGAATGATACAAAGCATACAATGGTTGGATGAATGAAATACGAAAATTGGAAAATGGAATAAATTAATAAAATATAAAAAATATAATATAGTTACAAATTGGAAATAAAAAATTACATTATTAAAAAAATATCAAATAAATTAAATAAAATTAAAACAAAATTTACAATAATTTGAAAAAATGTTATACAACTATTGAGTATACAAAAAATATTGACTTCAGCATTTTCTCCTATTGTTCTTGACTTTGATCATTTGCTTCAGGTGAAAGTGTGAAACATCAGTTGTAGTGTCATGGTAAAGGAAAGGGCTATTTATAGGAATTGAAAATAATCCAATTACCCAAAATACCCTAAAAACTAGTTGTTTTATAGTTGTTGGGAGGAGTATTTTGGTCATTGTAAAGTTATTTATCACTTTACCCAAAATGCCCCCCAAACTAGTTGTTATATAGTTGTTGGGGGGCATTTGTATCATTCTTTCTCCCCTCAAAACCAAAATACATAAATACCCCCTATATAGTTGTTGGAGAGTATTTCTATACCCCCCCCCCCCCAAAAAAAAAGCTAAAACTAGCCATTGGGGACCAAACGCGGCCCGCAAGCGGCACAACACACACAATCGTGTCGTTTCATACTGTCCCACGGATCTGGAACCCTGGGCCCAATACAACCTGGACCATCATGTTGGGCCTGGCACGACACGACCTAATTTACACCTCTAAGTGTCTCCATCTTGTGACCAACACCATTTTTAAACCATTGATTAAAAGTCCCCATTTCTTTTTCTTTTTCATTTCTATTTTTTCTTACATTTTATGGGGCTACACAATGGGTAGCCCATCCCCCATCCCCCTAACCCCGGTGGTAGTGGGATTTGATCATAAAGTGAAACAATTGAGAAGGTATAGGATGCCAATGCCAATAGGGCTTGGGTTAGGTTGTGACTACTAAAGACTTAAATCCAATTCCTTCCCAAGTTGGGGTCAAGACCATATTTTCATCCCAAATTATCATACTTGATTTGCACTAATAAATTTAATTATATTTTTAACTATTGATTTTTGCATTTATTTTCATATGTGCATGTACAGGCTTCTCCAATAGTACTAGGAAAAATCAAGGATATGTTTTAATAGTTTATGTGAGTTAGGCTATGTTTGGTTGCAGTGCAAATTTATTTGCACTAATACAAATGCAAGGGAGTGCAAATGTAAAAAATGCAAATTTTTGTTTAATTTTGTTTTGGATTTTGCCATGGTTTTCAAAATCAGACTGGAAAAACCGGGAACCAATCAGGTGATCGGTTCCGTTTTACCCTAGAACCACTATTTTCCTCAAAACCATTGATTTGGTCAACAAACTGTTGACCCAACCACCCAAGTGGTTGAACCGTTCAACGATTTGGCTGGTTTTTATTTTTTTGTCAAAACGGGCCGTCCGTTCAGTTCGAATGGTCGAACTGTTCAACCCGAGAACCAAACCCCTAACCGGTTCATTGTCCAGGTCGATTTTAAAAACCTTGGATTTTACTTTATTCTGCTTCATGCCTTAATTTACTTCATTTGTATTGCAATCAAACAAAATAAACTAAAATTTGAAACAAAAATAGGTCAGAATTTACACTCAAATCATTTACACTGCCATGGTTTTGCACCAGTGCAAATTTATTTGCATTACAACCAAACATAACCTTATGGATTATTGGGATGTAGTGAGGAAGCATTGGAATATGGCAAAATAATAAAAATTAGAGTTAAATCAAGAAAAATATCAATTTAGATGATTAAGTTATTAATTTATTTCTTTTTTATTTTTTAATTGATATTAATATTATTAAGTGTCATATAAAAACGCAAAGATGAAAGTATCAATACACTCAATATTTAAAAATGGAATATTGAAGGAATTTTTGTATTGATCTACTATGGATTAAGGTTACATACCAAGGATTATCGACGAATGAGTCCATGTTTATAGCTCTGCAATGGAAATCAGAAATCTGCATTGGGTATATCCATACTTCTCCGTTATTTGTATTTATTCGGATATTCTGTATGCACTATGCTGTATGGGGCTTTGGCAGCTTGGGCCTACCTTTCCAAACTTTAGTGTGTTAAATGTCTTCTGATTTCCGTATTCAATTTTTTCAAGGAAATCACAGAGATATGGTGTTTGATTTGAAAGAAAAGATAGTAAAAGGTGGGGAAACTTGTACCGACCTTTCCCTTTCTATCCTTTTCTCAATCAATCATACCTTTGTACAGGTTTCCCTACCTATTCTTTCAAAAATACAGCCTACAAACTTAACCAATCATAACTTGAATTTGAATGAATACCCATTGATTGGTTATTTCGGACAGGTTGCTGGGGTTAACAAATTGGCAAAGATCTAGTAAGATGAACCCATTTCAAGCAAGGTTCAAAGTATTAAACTATCAATAAACATTTTCATTGGCAAAGATCCAGTACGATGACTGCATCTCAAGCAAGGTTCAAAGTATGAAACTCACTTTAGCACAAGTAAATTGTACCATATTCCATTTTATTATAATTATTCAGGTAAATTGCTGAAAAGTTTCATGAAGTTTCTAACCATTGCTTAAACCTCCCCTAAAGTTGAATAATTGCAATCACCTCGCCTGAACTTTCTGACAGTTGCAAATAGGCTCCTTTATGTCCTCTATATATATCCTCTAGATCCCTAAGTCCCTTTAAATAATGCATAACAAGGTTAACAAAATTGATATATCGTACAATACACTGCTACATTATGATATTTGAATTCGATCTAAGAGTGGGCATGGAGTATGGCTTGTGGACCATGGAGTGTAAAGATAACAGACCCCTTTCATGAGCACTTAGAACAAAGCTTGCAACTTGCTGCATCCAAGACTCAACCAGAGAGTCCTACAGAAGTGGTCAGTGATGGTGCCACATTTTTTGTACCGTGTCAATTATATCCGTATCAAAGAAATGGAGGGCTAAGGTTATCAAAACAATATTATCTTTCTACATTGGTATGGGTTAGAAAAAATAAATGCGTTTGTCTCCATTCTCGGAGCTCAAATTAAAGCGTCAGGCAGGAGAGAGAAAGTCCTCCCACATGGGTGGTTAATTGGTTATCTCAAGCTCAAATCAGGATCATCTTCATCATCGAGGTCATGCTCATTAGATGGTCTGATTCTCTTCCCATCTCTTGGCGCTGTTCTTCCCTTCTTCGGTTTTCCCCTGGTACAAGAATTTGAATTAGGCTTAGTGACTGTTCGATAATGGCTGGACTGGTTGAACTGAATGACTTACTATTGTCTTCTAGTAAATCAGTCATTAAATAGATTGTGAGCTCTTTAATGGGTGAATGAAATATTGGGTTGATTACTATTCCCTGAAATAGTTTATTGTAGTTTATCCACTAAAAGACAAAGCAATAAAACAATTAATTCAGCCACTTCAGCCATTATCAAACAGCCTAATAGACATACAATGATACAATACTATGCAAACGTGCACAGACATTAAAACATCAGTGGTGCATGCACGCGGACTGCCAGTACCCCAAAACCCCAACCCTAATGTAGATAGGATCTGATATTCTGATCACAGCCACCTTACCAGAAAGCCAGTTAGCACCTTCATTTGCAAAATATCCTTTTACTGGTCCTTGTCAGCAAACATTATTTGCTATGGGCCAGTAAAGTTCTACTTCGGTGGATTGATAGGCAGATTGAAGGCAGTAAAAATAAAATCTCTTGTAATATCAGAATCCGTTGTAGTATGGGTACAGGGACTTCATAATTTTCCACATTCCCATTTTCAGGAATAAGATCATCAAGAGTCCCAACTATGGTTGGAGTAGAAATCTATCTAATTAGATGATTTCTAACCATCTGATTGGGGCATCATTTGTATTTTGTATTACTTTTAACTGTCCATTTAAATGCAGTAATGAAAGGGTTAGAACATCCTATATAAGCTGATCTTCTAAGTATGACCCATGTGATTAGGGGTGTCAATTGAACTGGATTTGGTCCAATCCGGTCCAGTCCAATGTGAGTCCATTACAAATGGACCTGGTCCAATCCAGTCCAATGAATATTTTGGACCATTTTGGACCGGTCCAGAGACTGTTCAATCTGTTCAAATTCCTGTTAATTTAGATTGGTCTCAACTCAAACCTGGTCCATTGACACCTATGTTCTAATTTTCTATCAATGGACCAGAAATTGGCTCAATCCAATATAAATTCATTATGGACAGACCAGGTCTAATCCAATACGTCATATTGGTCAGTCCAGTCCATCCAAATTCAATGTCTTATTGGTCCGTCCAATCCGTCCAAATGGATTTTGATTTGGACGGAGTCCAACCCAAAACCGGTCCATTGACACCCTCACATGTGATGGTGGGTTGCAATGCTCCAAACATGTGATAAGTGGTATGTTATGGGGCCCTAAACCCATAAACAGGGAAGTCAACAGTGTAGGTAACTTGTCCTGCATTGGGACAGGTTTGATATTACAACGTACAAGTCTAATCAGTTTTGAGGTTCTGGTTCAGGTTTGGGCCCTGAAATGCCAATCCATCATGGGTTCTGGTCAGGTTTGTCATATAATTCCATTCTAGATTGCAATGCTTTAAGCATGTCAAGTCTTTTTACATAACATCAAGTGTTCTATCTTTGATAATTTCTTTCCTATTATTTTTTATTTGTTCTATTTTTGTCAATATTTTTCATCAGTTCTCTTGTGAGGCTTTGCTATGCTTCATGCACTGGCTCACTCTATTCACAGGGTGGAGCGGGTTCCAGGGTGAGGTATGGTCAAGTTAGGTCAGGTTTGAATAAAGCACAACTAATACCAAACCCAACCTATTGACATTAGAGAGTGGGGATTAGCCAGGCCAAACTGAGCTAAGCATAGCACAGAGGATCTCAGTTAGGCTTGACTAGGTCTACCTTTTAAGCCTTTCAGGTTGCAAATACAGGCCTGGCCTGCTTCAGCCTAAACTGGGCAATTGAGTGTAACAGGTTTGGCCAAGAAGTGAAAATTCTAAAAGCTTTTAAAAGTCATGACTCCAACACAAGGCCTAAAACTTAGATTAACTACTCTCAGCTACAAAACTGTACTTAGTTTTTGATCAATTATTATATTGACAGTATATAATAAATATGTAAATATAGATATATGCTTATAAACAGAAATATATGTGTTACAAATAATTACATTCCTTATTTACTATTGTATATATCATGTCTTGCTATAAGTCATAAATGTATTATCAAGAGATATGTGCCTACTATATGTTTATGTATATTAATATTATGTATTTATGTATGTATTATATGTTCATGTAGCCTTATCTACATACATATCTGGTACAAGGACAGAAAACTGGTTAAGTATACATATATTCTACTCTATAATTTTATTTTTATACATAAGCTTTACAAATATATACCACATATGTGTTGTGCATCTAATATACAAAGAACAGGCTTAATCTGGGTCAGGCCAGAATCAGGCACAACCAGGCTAGACCTTAAGCTGAATCCCAGCCCATTCCAGAAACATGGACAGGTATCTAGGCCCAAGTCTGGCCCTAAAGTCCCTGGCCAGGATCAAACCAGGCCGGACCAGAAATTTCCATTCCTTGAGATGCTATATACAGGTTTTAAGTCCCCAGATCCTAGCTTTAGCCTTAAACAAGGAAAAGTTAAAGAGAACTCACTGTCCATTAGCTGATATGCCTCCCTTGGACCGACCATGGCCATAATCAGATCTTCCATCTGTCCAACACAAAAAAGGGCACAAAAATATATTCAAATTCTTTGACCAAAAAACAGCTATTCATATGTCTGCTAATATAGGCTCACCGTCTCTGCCAGATAAATGTTCTTCAACCTGGAAATTGACAAAACATGGTGTTCAGGTACAGCTTGAATAACTTAAAAAAGGAAAAATCTAATGGAACTTTGGAAGAGATTAGGGAAGTTAGTTCAACTTTGCACAATCACATATAAAGTAACTTCTAAGCCCCACAGTCCAACAGTCCCAAATGAATTGGAACTGTCAGGGTATTGGCTCTCACCTGACAGTTCAAGCTCTAAGAGAGACCATTCAAAAGAACAAACCCAATGTCATTGTTATAATTGAAACAAGAAATAAGCTATCAGAAGTTTGAAAAAAGGTTCAAGCTTCTGAAGGATTAGAGCTGGTGGGGAACAGACCGAATAGGACTGGCTGGGGGCCTGGCTTTAGTTTGGACTTTGGAATCAAAACATTCTGCTCTCTACAATGCACCTTCATATATGGACAGATTGTTTGACTCTACTACTTTCAGATGGCCAAGAAAAAGGGGGAAAGTATTATGGAGATGCACGAGGGCAGCAGTGATATGGACATTATGGGAGGAAAAGAATCGAAGAATCTTTGAGAAGAGGAGAATTAAAGAATCATTGATAGAAGGTATTATGGTGAAGGTGATTCATTGGGTAAAATCACTTGAGTTATCCTCAGACTTCACCTTTGACGATATAAGAAGGGAGCGGGGAACAATTGCAGCTACATCATCTTCAAAAAGGAAAGTATCTAGAACCTGGGACCCACCTGAGAATGGCTTCTTGAAACTCAACTTAGATGGCAGTAGCTTTGGAAATCCAGGTCCCTCTGGAATAGGAGTTATAAGGAATGAAGTGGGGCTATCTTAGGTCTGTTTTCAGGGCCTATTGGGGAAGGGGACTCTACAACAACAGAGTTAACGACAGTGCTGTATGGGTTGCAAAAAGCTGGGGAACTAGGGGTAAGAAAGTTGATAGTGGAAGGAGATTCAAAAGTGATACTAAGCTGGTTGAACCAGACTGAAAAGACTCCCTGGTACTTCAGAAATGAAGTCAAAAAGCTGAGGAGAATTGCACGGGATATGCAGCTAGTGTTCCATTGGACCCCAAGGTCAGCCAACAGTTTGGCAGATCAACTAGCAAAGCAAGGGATTAACAGAGATCAGTACCTCTGGGCGACTTTGTAAAGTTGAAAGGAAAATTTTCTTCATGTTTTTTGTTGTTTTCTGTTAAGATGTTTGGGGTAGCCAAGGCTACCTATAATATGTATTGATTTTCTATTATTAATAAAATTCCCTGTTGCTGATCAAAAAAACAAAATTGCACCTTCATATATGGGGAACCTGAGGCTGACAGAAGGAAAAGAACTGCTATTTTCAGTAAGTGGAAGCAGCTGACCGCAAAAAAAAACTGCGAATCTGTAAGTGTATAGGGGATTTGAACCTTATTTTTAGTCAAATTGATAAAAAGAGGAAGGAAGATTACTAGGAAAGAAATCATTCAAAACAATGAAGTAATTAATGATCTGGGATACAGACAGTTCACTTTCACTTGGACAAATGATAGATTTGGCTGTGAAAATGTAGAAGAAAGACTGGTTAGAGTTCTTTGCAGCAAGGAGTGGAAAATGGTGTCCCTGAAGCAACTGCTTATCACATAAATAGTCATGGTCAAGGTTTTAAAGGCTAAAAGCATAGTTGAGGCATAATGGCCCAAAAAGGAGAGGCACAATCCTCAAGGCATTGCAAGGCATAAGCCTCAATAAAAAAGGAAAAAACTAATTAAAGCTTATAAATGATAAAAAGTAGCATATAACATACCAAGTTAGAATCATAGAAGGTACAAGTATCTATGAAATAGAAGTTTACAAGCAATAAGTAATAGCTTTTAAGCATTAAATAATATAATAACTGATCAACTAACAATTATACACATATGTTTCATATTTCAAAATGCAAAGTTCTCAAATTCTTCAAAGACCAATTTAGATGAAAGGAAACATATGAAGATTCATCCATATAATTGATATTAGATTTATGGTCATCCGATAGTTTATACGAAAGGAAACAACTTAATTGATTTTCTCTATGGAAAAAAAATGATAAAAAGAGAATAAATCCATTAGGAAAAGAAATGAGAAAAACAACAAACTTGGGGTGTTAGATTTAGAATAATAAGAAAAAAGCCCACTTGATTTATCCAATAAAATTTGATTTTTCCTATTGGTTTTTCATTTTTACTCTTTTTATTTGGTCCATAATTATTGGAGTGCTTCTTCCATATATTCTGAACTTTAAAAATGCATAAAATACATATATATTTTTTGCAGTAAACCACTAAATAATCATTGATACTTGAGGCTTACCCCTTTTATGCCTCAAACTACACTACACACCTTGAAGGCCTTGAGGCTTATGCCTCATTTTGACAAAGGCTTAAGCCTCACATCAAAGCTGCTGTGAGGCTTAAGCCTTGAAGCAAAATCTGTACGTCTCACACCTCAAGGCTTAAGCTTTTTAAAACAATGGCCATGGATCACAACATCTCCCCATTCTTATTAATACAAGCCCCAAGCTTAGGAAAGGTGCTAGACCCTTTAGATTTGAGGAAATGTGGACAACATTAATTTTTCAGATACTTGGGGCAGCTTGGAGGGAGAAGAAAGCTTAACCCAAATTAGCAAGAAAGCTGAAGCAATTAGGAATGCTATGATCATTTGGAATAGACAGGTTCTCAGCAACATTTAATTTTCAAATTAGGGAGCTCAAAGAGAAAGATGGGAGCAAACAGCAGTTATTATGATAATAAAATTAAGGATCTTGAATGTAAATTGGACTTGCTTCTCAAGAGAGAGGAAATCAATTGGGCTCAAAAATCTAGAGTTCAATGGCCAAAATGAGGGGACTGGAATACTAGTTGTTCCCATGCTTCCACTGTCCATAGAAGTAGAAATAGAACCAAAAGATTGAGCAGAGATTGGCAGGCTGGAAGAGGAAGCATCTATCATTTGCAGCAATGTCTTCCGGCACTCTAACCCAAGCCAATTCTGGGAAATTTGATCACCTCACTCCTTAGGTGGCAAAGAAGCCTTTGATTGATCTATTATGCCTCAATTTTCATCATCATCCAAGCCTTATCCCATCTAAGTACCTATATATTAGGAGACCCCTTGAAAGTAACACCAAACAACTTGGTCGCTCCTAACATAAAAGCATTTGCTTATGGTTGTATTTTGAACTCAGCATGTACAACCTTGGGCAAAGATCACATAATTTTCCTGCTCCACACTATTCTTCTTCCCAAAATCTTACTCTTACTCCATTTCCCAGTTTAAAGTTCAAACTTTGTGAAATCAACAAATGACTGTTGAAAGGACATGATTCTCACGTACCCCATATAATGTGGTCACTACAATACCATAGAGCTAATGCATTCATTATCTTGCACCAAACAAAATGATATCTTCTTTGAGAAAGATATTGAACAACATAGGTAAGAAGAGCAAGTTCTATATAAAAGCTTCAATGAATTAACTGAACCATTACCTAAAAGGTCAGGTAATTTTATATTACAAATACATCGAGAGTAAGATGATGCACAAGCATACAAGCTCCACAAGAAACTATAATAACCCAACGTTCATTTATCATCTTACACCAAACAAAATCATGCCATCCTTGACAAAGATATTGAGTAACAATAGGTAAAAATAAGAAAATCTGGAGCAGTTGTTACAACTAAATAAGCCAAAGGCAGGAGGATACATACTGCTGGTGAGGTAACTGAAGACAAAGAAAACAGTCTGTCCTCAGCTTGGAACTTCCTAGATCGCTTTAGGCTGCAGGCACAGGATTTCACCATTGATGATTGATAATTGTAGCAACCAAACTAATTAGTAAGAGCAAGATAACAAAATAATAAAATCCATAACTTCGACCATGTGGTTGAAACCTATAAAAATGGCAACACTTTTTTTATCAATTATAAAAAATGGTAACATTGAATACAAGTATCCTACAAGTGCTTGGATGCATACTTGCTGAAGATGTCAAGTGAGAAGAATTGTGTGACGAAATATTTATAGGAAACCATATTGCAGAATACGGAGCAGATAGGTATCAATGACCTCAACTTCAAATTTCCTTCCAATATTACATAAATATATATTAATCTACAAAATTAGCTTAATTCTTTAAGTCATAAAACAATCTCTTAATTGTATATTTACACATATATAATCAATGTATTCTAATAGTATTATTATATTCAAATCAATTATGCAATAATCTTCCAGAATGTTTGGCTCCACTTGAAATGAAAACACCCCTAAATTTGACTTGTGTGTTAAGAAAGTGGGTGTTGAAAAAGAGATAACAAGTTTAGGACCCAGATTTCATCAATTGCTTTCCAAAAGTGTAGTGTTAGTGTATTACTAGAACTTGGCAATTTATTTCTCTTTTCTTAGAGTCTGCATTCTCACCTATGTCCCCTATCTTCTGCTTGTCATCACCAGACATTTTAAGTCCTTACAAGAGCAGGTAATTCCATTTACAACTTTTTTCCCCAAAGTGGCTACTATTAGCCTAGTATGAAAGTTATATTAAAGTGTATATTGTAAAAAGGGTAGGATAGTCCTTTTATCTTCCTTTATTTGTAGACAGGGGCATATATGTAATTTTCCCCCTTTCTCTTCTAAGTAATTCAAAGATGGGTCGACTGGTTGAGAGGTCGATTGACTCACTACCATTTGAACCCTATTTCCTTCCCTATAGTTTCTCTTCTTCTTCCTCTTCTCTATTTCTCTAATTGAAGCATATTCCATCTTCCTTTTTCATTTTTTGTCTATTAATCTAAGAGGTTTGTGAAAACACATGGTATTAGAACACTAGTAGTCAACAGATTCATCCCTAACATCCTGCTCCATCGTTTTCATCTCAAGCCCATTCCGTACATTGAAGGAAGGGAAGAGGACCCAAGAGGGCTGATTATTTCTTAGGAAAGGAGACTTTAATGCCTCGAGTGGTTTCAGTTTTTGTGTTGTGGGTGGTTTTCTAGATGCCCTCTACTCAGCAATTCAAAGAGGGGTTGAGTTCTTCAGGTGAGGTATTGCAGTTCCTTTTGTTTGTGTGTGTGGTGTGGTTATAACCTAGTTGGAGGTCAGTGATAGTGGTGATTGCTTCAGGCGAGTGATAAGCTACGTTTCTTGTGATTCTTTCAACTAGAAATCAGTTTGGAGACAATTAAGTGTGATTATTTGATTAAAACACTTCTTTTACCTAGTTTTCAATTTTCTGTTAGTAACTAAAGAAACCTTTGTCTCATGGCCACCTCTACTAGTAGTTCCTGATCAGCTATGGTGAAACAATCTGATTTGATGAATGTTCAATTAGCCATTTGTTAGGTACAATGGTACTATCTATATACCATTGGTTAAATCTGTTGAAGTTTCTCTGATTGGGAGAGGGAAACTAAAGTACATCACTAAAGACAAGCCCAAGGTAGGATCTGAAGGGTATGGTGAATGGGTGCAAGAGAATGCACAGATTATGACCTCCTTATGGAATAGCATGGAAAATCACATTAGTATCAATCTTATGTTCTTGGACATGCAAAGGAAATTTGGGAGCATGCAAGGCAACATAGTTGTCAAGCCCGTCTAGGCATCGCCTAGGCGACTAGATGCTTTTCAAAGAGTGCCTCGCCCAAACGCCAAGAAAATATATGTTAGGCGCATGCTTAGGGGACTGAAACAAATATATAATATTTATTAAATAAAAATAGATAATATTTTATTGATTGGTTTTAGTTTTTATAATAGAACCCGTTGCATGTTATCATGTTTTGTATTTTAGTATTTTTTATTCTTCATATTCTTCTTTTATTTTAGTATTTTTTCACCAACTTTTCTGGGTCTAGAACAGGAGCTCCGCCCCCTTCTTTTGTTCTTAATTTCTCGCATTTTTTCAGCTTTTTTTGTTCTCAGCATTGGTGTCTGAAACAGGGGCTCAGCCCCTTGTTTTCTTCTTCATATTTCTTCTATTGTTTTAATATCTTTTCACCATCTTTTCTGGGTCTAGAGCAGGGGCTCTGCCCCCTACTTTCCTTCTTCATTTTTTTCTTTTATTTTAGTACTTTTTCTCATCAAGCAACATTGCAAGAAACACAAGCACAAAAGTAAGTGCAGACTACATAAAACCAAAAAAACTAGTTCAGAAGGGGTAGAAATCCATCGGCTTCTTATTTTTAAATTCCATCGCCTAGGTGATGGCTAGGCACCCGCCTAGGCACCTGGGCGCCCCATGGTTGCTCAGCCTCGCCTTGGCACCTTGAAAACTATGCAAGGCAATTGTATTCAGGGAAAGATGATGTAACTCGAATCTATCAGTTGTATCAAGATTACTTTGCTCTCCAACAAGGTAATAAAAATGTAGAGGGATATTATGCAGCCGTGAAAAAGTCTAAGAAATGAATTAAATGCATATCAACCACTTGCAACTGATTTGAAGACACAACAGGAACGAAGAGCATTTAGATGTGGTGAGATTTTTATCTTGCTTGAGGTCAGAATTTGAACTAGTTTGAGCCCAGATTTTGGGTAGTAGTGACCTGCCATCCTTATCTTAAGTATTTCTCGTGTTAGAGGAGATGGATTTAGAGGCGGTAGAAGTGGTGGTAGAGATGGCAGCAATGTGAGAGGTGGTGGCAGGAATTGTAGTGGTAGTCATATGCAAGTTCGATAGTGAACTCATTATGGTGTAGTGGTGGTCATATGCAAGTCTGACAGTGAACTCATTATGGCTGTGGAGGGCATATAGCCAATTTTTGCTATGACTTATATATGGACCCCATCAACTTGGGCTAATCATGCCATAGTTGGATAGCAGCTTTATGATAGTATTCCCCATGACTATCGATCAAAAAATAGCATTCCCACTGTAGAGAAGATGGAGGGTAGTTATGTAATTTTATCTTTCTTTCTTGTATTTTAGTAGGCGCATACATTAGTGTACAGCTTCTTTAATTCTTTCGTAAGGACAAATTTGTCCATTCATATTTCTTTAATATAAATACTCTCTTTTTGGGTTGGTTCGATCAGATTGATCAACCCTAACAGATCTGGACTATTGTTCTTCCTCTTGTCTCTTCACTTTCTCACAAACTAACACCCACAACTAAGATTTCTGGTTCAGGAGGTAGTAAGAATAACAAACTTATTCCCACCACTCGTGAAAAAGAGAAACTTCATTACTCATCTTCATCCAGTGCTACCACCACACTTGTCAAATCAGGTATAGCTTGTCCTGTTTCCACTTCTAAGTCTAGTCCTTGGATAATTGACTCTGGAGCTTTAGATCACATGACTGGGTCTTCGGATTTATTCATGTTTGTCTCCTTCCTCTACATCTTAGACAGTTACCTTAGCTAATGGTACTTCTTCATCCATAGTTGATTCTAGTAATGTGTCTCTTAATTCTAAGATTACTTTAAATTCAGTCTTATGTCCCTAAGTTTCCTTTTAGTCTCTTATTTGTAAGCAAACTTACACAATCTCTGAACTATTCAGTGACATTCTATCCTTCTTATTGTGTCTTTTAGGCATGGTTCAAAGTATCGATATGCCCCTATGTATCGATAGAGGCAAATCAGTACAAGAAACCATGCACGTTTATATATATATATATATATATATATATTATTTTTCTTTCAAATTTTGGTTTTTGGGGATGTTTTTAAGTGTATTTTTTATTAAAAAAAGGGCTTCCCGAAACACTTGTAAACAGGTGTACTGGGACCCCAAAGATACGATACACCCAATAGTATCATATCGAAATTTTGCTCCTTGCTTTTAGGATATCAAGATAGAGAAGATGAGTGGTAGAAGTCATTGTAAAGAGACTGGGCCGAATGGGTCCTAGTATCTTCTCTTGTAATATTTTTTCTATTTTCCTGTTAGCTAATGGGCCTCTCTTAATGGGCCTGTTATTTCTTTTTTGTTTGATCTCTTTATGTTACTGCCT